CTTTTTCCTCTATCCTAAATTGAAAATTAACTTGAAAGGACGGAAATTTGACAACGTTGATATGATACAAGCTGAATCGAAGGCAACCTTGAGGAACCTCTCAAAAAGTGATTTTATCTCCTGCTTCGACAATTGGAAAAAAAGATGGAACGGGTGTATTGAGGCAGGAGGGGCATATTTTGAAAAATATTAAATTAGTTTTTTTTTATGTTTTTATTTTTTCAAAGATACAGAGCAGTCCTGGAAATTAATGAACGCACCTTGTATATCTATTATTTTTTTATAAGTTTATAGGGAATAGTTTTAACAAATATTCGTTAGACAAACCTTCACTTGGGTAAAACCCGGGCGAAGCCGGGTACATCCGCTAGTATATATATATCGATTTATTTTATTTTAAAACTAGACGAATGGCCCGGGCAACGCCCGGGTTTTACCCGAGTGCGTATATATTTTAAAAACGTTTTAATTCAAATACTATGGCGCCGTAGATGTCATTCTTGTATAATATATAAATGAGTTTTTAAAAATTGTAAAAAAAAAAAAAAAAAATGCATCGGCCGGGAATCGAACCCGGGCCGCCAGCGTGGCAGGCGAGCATTCTACCACTGAACCACCGATGGTTATGAAAATTTCCATCCGTGAGCTTCAGACAAACAGACAGAATAAGGCAAATATATACGTAGACTAGACGAATGGCCCGGGCAACGCCCGGGTTTTACACGAGTGCGTATATATTTTAAAAACGTTTTAATTCAAATACTATTCGTTACAATTATAAATTGGCGCCGTGGATGTCTCTCTTGTGAAACGTCCCGCCCCAAACTGTGTGTGTCTTGAAAATATAAAAATAAAAATGTGAATTTTCATAAAGATTTCATCATTTCGATTTTTTTTTTGCATTTCACCTACTAAATCGATAGAGATAATTACATTTGCAACATGAACTTAGGTATATTGACTAAATAGAAAACTGCATAGTAATAAAGATCATTTTTTAAAGGCACCATATCGTTTTTTTTTCAATAAAATCGAAACAAAAATTAACGATAAATAACGATAATTGCCTAAAAAGAAATTGCCTTAAAAAAAAAAGAAACATTCGCGGTGATTTTGTCTTGCATTCGTTTATACAATTATTATATACGAATGACCCGGGCAACGCCCGGGTTTTACCCGATTAAATGCTTTTATTCAAATACTATTCGTTACAATTATAAATTGGCGCCGTGGATGTCATTCTTGTATAATATATAAATGAGTTTTAGAAATTGTAAAAAAAAAAAAAAAAATGCATCGGCCGGGAATCGAACCCGGGCCGCCAGCGTGGCAGGCGAGCATTCTACCACTGAACCACCGATGGTTATGAAAATTTCCATCCGTGAGCTTCAGACAAACAGACAGAATAAGGCAAATATATAAGTAGACTAGACGAATGGCCCGGGCAACGCCCGGGTTTTACACGAGTGCGTATATATTTTAAAAACGTTTTAATTCAAATACTATTCGTTACAATTATAAATTGGCGCCGTGGATGTCTCTCTTGTGAAACGTCCCGCCCCAAACTGTGTGTGTCTTGAAAATATAAAAATAAAAATGTGAATTTTCATAAAGATTTCATCATTTCGATTTTTTTTTTTTTGCATTTCACCTACTAAATCGATAGAGATAATTACATTTGCAACATGAACTTAGGTATATTGACTAAATAGAAAACTGCATAGTAATAAAGATCATTTTTTAAAGGCACCATATCGTTTTTTTTTCAATAAAATCGAAACAAAAATTAACGATAAATAACGATAATTGCCTTAAAAAGAAATTGCCTTAAAAAAAAGAAACATTCGCGGTGATTTTGTCTTGCATTCGTTTATACAATTATTATATATGAATGACCCGGGCAACGCCCGGGTTTTACCCGATTAAATGCTTTTATTCAAATACTATTCGTTACAATTATAAATTGGCGCCGTGGATGTCATTCTTGTATAATATATAAATGAGTTTTAGAAATTGTAAAAAAAAAAAAAAAAATGCATCGGCCGGGAATCGAACCCGGGCCACCCGCGTGGCAGGCGAGCATTCTACCACTGAACCACCGATGGTTATGAAAAATCCCATCCGTGAGCTTCAGACAGACAAACAAACAGACAGAATAAGGCAAATATATAAGTAGATATTATTTTATTTAAAATTATATTTAAAAGATACAAATACTCTGTTAAAACGACCGCCAGAGGTCACGCTTCTATAAAATCCGATTGTTGTTGTTTCCCGTTGGCCGGCTCAATCTTTGTACATTATGTAAATCATCTTTTGTTTTCCCTTTTCTACTCGCCTTAAGCCAGGCGATGCTTTTACCAAATTATGTTTTTCATATATATTCCTTAGCTCAAATAAAGAAATCTCTGATCAAAACTATTTTATTATTCCCACGACTGCAAAACAATATCGTAACATACTCATGTATGCAAAAAAAGCAACAAATAATAATAATTCAATATATCAATCTAATTCCAAAATACAAAAGAAATCTAATCATAATATATAATAATAAGTCGACAGATATTTATCTGTTTATTTTTTTTTAAATGGCAGAAGCAAAATTTTTCAAATTCAAATATGCAAATCTTCCAATCAAAAATAGCTTTCTCAATCAAAAAAAGCTCATTTCAACCAAATATAACCTACTTCAACAGGACATAGCCTTCTCCGCAAGCAAACATAGCCTTTTCAACAAACAACCATAGCTTCAACAAAAACCATAGAATCAACAAACAACCATAGAATCAACAAATAACCATAGCTTCAACAACAACCATAGCTTCAACAAACAACCATAGCTTCAACAAACAACCATAGTTTCAACAAAAACCATAGCTTCAACAAGACATCGCCATCCGCTCCAGCGCAACCAGAAAATATCTCTAGATAACTACGGGTGTTACCAACTTCCACATCGTCCGCTTCCCTCCAACAAGCAGCCTACCGCCCAACGCCAGCCAACTCCCGAGATCTTCAAATCCAGCCCATCATTCATTTCAAGGTACTTTTGTGTCTACCTTTTATATAATTTACCCCGTTTTAACTTTCTGATTCTCTCATGTTTACAATAGTTTTCAATCACATATTTGCTTATAGTTACATTCCTTTTGTCATTTCTTTAACATTTTTGCCATTGAAATAATACCACTCTTTTGAATCATTTTGAAATGTCATATTTTCTTTGCATACTTAGTCCAATATATCTCCTAAATATATTTCACTAGCCGAATGACCCGGGCAACGCCCGGGTTTTAACCGATTAAATGCTTTTATTCAAATACTATTCGTTGCAATTATAAATTGGCGCCGTGGATGCCATTCTTGTGAAACGTCCCGCTCCAAACTTTGTGTCTGAGAAGCGATATTTTTTATAAAGAGATGATATGGCTTTGTGTCTTCTGCTCGAATGAATGTTTTTCTGTTCGAATTTTGTTCCTGCATACTAAAAATGAACTGGCTTCACCCATGGTCTCTGTTTTCTGGAATTTTTCCGGATATAATTTTGTATCTGATAATCAAATATGATACAGAAATATTGTCAGAATCATTTTCTGACTAAAAAACCAACTATTTTTGCCCAGAGCCTGTCAATTTCAATTTTTCTTGGCTAAAAATGCGAAAAATATCTCTTCCATATTTTTTCTATGTCCTGTTAAAACACGTTTTACATGTACATTAGGTCAGCTGATTTTACCTCCCATCTTCACCGCTAGAGGCGCTGCTCGCGAGCGAAAGAGCAAATTTGCAACTCAAATTTGCAAATAACTCGAAGAATATTCGGGATAGAGACCTGAAATATTCAATATAAGTTTTTCCAGATTCTACTATACATACTGCTAAAATTTCAGTCATATTAGTTACGTATTTTAGTATATTACGTAAAAGCTTTGCATTCACAAAAGCAAACGATGACAGAATTGATGAATCTGATATTTGTATTTTAATAATAATATAAATGAGTTTTAAAAATTGTAAAAAAAAAATGCATCGGCCATATTTGGGTATTCATTCCATTCCGGATTACTCAGCGTAAAAAAAAAGTTCTTCAAATGAAAAAAAAAAGAAATAGTCAAAAATACTAATCAAAATGTAGCCGAAAATTTTCCTCAGGTTTATAAAAAGCGACATGCAAAATTTGGTTCCATTTGGTTCAGTAGTTTTTGAGTTTATCGCGAAACAGACAGACAGACATTGACTTTTAAAATATAGAGATATTTATATTATATCTATATATATAAAAATGAATGTATGTGTGTGTGTGTGTGTGTCTGTCCTTTATGCCTGACCAAACCACTCATTGGAACGCCATAAAACTTTGGGAAGTTATTTAGTATAGTACTGGGAAGGTTTCTAGCAAATAACATTTTTGAAATAACTTTTCGCTTTAAAATAATCAAGATGAATATTCTAATTTATCTGTTATAATTCAACAATCTGCTCTAAATATTATCATGATGATACGATGATTTTGTAATGTAGAAAATTAGGAAAGACAAAATTCAGGATGACACGGCAATTTATTTGACTAGAATAATGATACAATTCCAAGGCAAGATACTATTCCTTTAACTTCCAATTACCGAGGGAACCAATTAATATTGATTTTATTCAACTTATCGAGTATTTTTCAAGGGACCGGGAAAAAATGTTCACTTTATTGAGAGATTCGTTAGACAAACCTTTACTCGGGTAAAACCCGGGCGAAGCCGGGTACGTCCATACAAGAATAATGATACAATTCCAAGGCAAGATACTATTCTTTTAACTTCCAATTACCGAGGGAACCAATTAATATTGATTTTATTCAACTTATCGAGTATTTTTCAAGGGACCGGGAAAAAATGTTCACTTTATCGAGAGATTCGCTAGACAAACCTTTACTCGGGTAAAACCCGGGCGAAGCCGGGTACGTCCGCTAGTATAATATAAATGAGTTTTATAAATTGTAAAAAAAAATGCATCGGCCGGGAATCGAACCCGGGCCGCCCGCGTGGTAGGCGAGCATTCTACCACTGAACCACCGATTATTATAAAAAATAGCCATATTTGGATATTCATTCCATTCCGGATTACTTCGCGTAAAAAAAAAAAGTTTTTCAAATGAAAAAAAGAAATAGCCGAGGGGTTGTCTTCGCTCCTGGGGGGGTAGACTTCGTTTTTTCGATCTTGTTTTTTTGTTTTCTTGTTGTTTGATGTCGTCGTCTTGAAACGCCTTGAGCGGTCTTTTAAATATCGCAGGTAGTGAATTGTCACTAGAAGACTTTCTCTAAGTATAGTTAGTATAAGCCTCATTTTACTCACTTTGTCATTTATGGTTTTTCTCTGGTCAGTATCAAGGTCGTTGAAGGTTCTGGACTTTATTTCTTCACATTTCTCGAGGTAACGGGAGATCTTGGTATCCAGGTCAGGATGTATTTCTAGCTGCTGTTGGACTTTGGTCTGTCTAGATAATCCAGCCCTCCTGTTAATCGTCGCAATGATCTTCTCTACTTCTACTTTGTCTCCTTTCTCGCATTCTATCAATTCATTCTGGAGTTGGGAGGAGTCCATCGACCATTTTTCGCACCTGGCAGATGTTTCGTCACTAAAATCAGGAGTCCCTGTGTCGGTCACCGATTCAGAATTTAGGTGAATGGCAGTTCCTCCGCCTGGGGGGATTGATCTTGTTCTTCCATCAGGACTGTACCTTTTTCGAGGAAGTTTTGATTTCTCTCGCAGTGGGGATATCTCTCTCTGTTGGAGGTTGTTTCGGGGTTTGTGGCTGTGAAGTCGGACACAGGGCGTCAGCGAAGGATCTTGTTACTTTTTTCCTGATCTCGGGGTCGAATGGGCATTGCGTTCTTATGTGACCGTGCCGTCTGCAACCGGAACAGGTCACGTCTTCTCCTATAAAGATTTTAAATGTTTGGTCCATATAATTAATGGAGATGACGGTGGGCATTGATGTATTTTCCTTGGTTTTAAGACAACCTCCCTCCTTAGTGAGGAAATATATTTGAGGAGTGGATTCTCAGTGGGGAAGGGAATAGGCCTGATGCTAATCATGTGTCCGTATGGTTCGAGGGCCTTTTCAATGTCCTTATCCTGTATGAAGGACAGGACGCCGGAGAGAATGTATTTCTTGGAGGTTCTGAAAAGTGGCGAGGGAAGGATTACCTCGTTTCCGACCTTGATCCCTTTTGTTAGGAGCGATTCAGCCAGTTCTGTATTCACGACGGAAACAATGGCTTGCCCATTTATTTTACCGATGGAGTGTATATTTTCGAAGCCTATTAGATCGGCAATTCCGAACAGGTGTTCTTTCGCCGTGGCGTCTTGAATCGCCTTAAAGTGGATTGTAGCTTTAATAGAGTTGCTTCTTCTTTCATAGGTTTTCCTTCTATTTTCATCAAACTTTTTGAGTTCTTCAGAGGTGAATCGTTTTCTCTGATTTTGCACGTTTATGATTTTTTCGTCATTTGTTGATTGGTGAGGTAATGATTCAGTAATGATGTGCGATTTTGATGGAAAATTTGAATTCCGAGTGATAGATGAAGATGCAGATGAAGATGAGGCAACGACCGGCTTGGCCGTTGCCATGGCGATGATACAAAGTTACAATTTGTAACTTTGCTAAGTTATGAAAAATAGGAAAATATAAAAATCGATTAAAATTTACAAAAGATGGCTAGAAATGATGCTTGAGTAAAGGCGAATAAGATGATAAAATTTAAATTTAAGTAAAGTTTATTTAAAGGGATGAAAGAAGCGAAAAACGCGGAGCTCGTGCGACGCGTGGCCGCACGGTCGGCGTATGTATGCATGTATGTATGTATGTGGGTATCTATGTCGGCTATACACGTCCACAATACGTAACTAATCTGACTGAAATTTTAACAGTATATAGAGTAGAATCTGGAAAATCTTATAGTGAAAATTTCAGGTCTCTATCCCGAATATTCTTCGAGTTATTTGCAAATTGCGTTGCAAGTTTGCCTTTTCGCTCGCAAGCAGCGCCTCTAGCGGTGAAGATGGGAGGTAATATCAGCTGACCTAATGTACATGTAAAACGTGTTTTGACAGGACATAGAGAAAAATCTGGAAAATATATTTATCGGATTTTTAGCCAATAAAAAATAAAATTGACAGGTTCTGGGCAAAAATAGTTGTTTTTTTAGTCAAAAAATGATGATGACAATATTGCTGTAACATGCTTGATTATCAGATACAAAATTATATCGGGAAAAAATCCAAAAAGCAGAGACCACGGGTGAAACCAGTTCATTTTTTTGTACGCAGGAACAAAATTCTAACAGAAAAACATTTATTCGAGCAGAAAACAAAAGCCAGATCATCTTTCTATAAAAATATCGCTTCTCAGACACAAAATTTGGAGCGGGACGTTTCACAAGAGTGACATCCACGGCGCCAATTTATAATTGTAACGAATAGTATTTGAAAATCAAAATAATATAATTTTATAATATCGTTGTGAAAATTTACATTTTTATATTTATATTTTAAAAACACACAAAGTTTGGAGCGGGACGTTTCACAAGAGTGACATCCACGGCGCCAATTTTTAATTGTAACGAATTGTTTATTTGAATAAAAACATTTAATCGGGTAAAACCTGGGCGTTGCCCGGGTCATTCGGCTAGTATATGATAACCGAGGGTCTCTCTCTGCGGTGTGGTAACCGAGAGGGGCAAACCTGTAGTAACCGAGAGGGACAGTCAGGGCGTGGAGAGTTTTCCAGTACCTCTCTGCACCTTGGATACCTTTAAGAGTTTTCACACAGTACAGGCAGTCGTGGTCGAGGCAGATGGAAAGCTTGGAAATGTCCACACAAAAAAAAACGAAGAGACACAGTTGTAGTAGGAAAGTTCCGTGAACAGATAGGAGTCGATCTGAGAGCAAGATGGAAATAAAGGAGTTCTTACTGTTATACATTGTGGATGAGGTGAACCCTGGACACGACTGACGAGGGCTCACGCTGATGGTGAAGTGGCTATATTTTCGGCTAGGGTAGAGGTCTTATATATCTTAGCCGAGAGAGAAAGTATGCCGGAGTATTGACTTTCAGCGGGTGCAACAAGAGCGTGGTGCGGCAGCGATATTCTACACCCTTTCAATGACCTGACACTCCTATCTTTAGGGTTGTTGGACTTCTATCCCAATATCTTGCTCCAGCTCAACTCTTAATCTATTACAGAGTTTCATTTATTTATCCTCAGTTTGTACAAAGTATATTACTTGGTGGTGGTACACTATATGGTGATGCAATGACACATGCCAATCATTCAGATAATTATTTATAGATGTGTTTCTATTATACAACATGAAAATCTTGTTATATTATATACAATATGAGGTTGTTGGTTTAAATTACCATATATACATAACAAACCTCTCATGTTCAAATAACTAACAAATATATAAATTTTGAAAATTTCTTTATGGTATTATCTCTATATATATTACAGTCAGTGTATATTGTAATATATCAGCGTGAAATGTTCTGTGAACATTTTATTGCTTCTGCAATTCTCAATGTTGTTATCATCATAGTTGTTTTGAATATATATAATTCGATTATTTTATTTTGTTTTGCATTCATTTAATTTAAAATGTTTGTGTTTATTTCTTTTGAATAATTATTCAAATATATATAAATAAATATATATGTAACAAGAAAAGTCTTCTTTCTTCGTTTCACTAAATATATTGCAAATGGCGACGAGGATCTAAGCGTAAGTACCCGAAGAAAATAATTTGTTTTTAGATTGAATTTTTGATACTCTTGCAAATGGCTCGCTTCCAATTTAGTGAATTTAATGAAGAGTTCGAAAGTTTTAGCACGTTCTTTGAACGTTTAGAACAATTTTTAATTTTGGAAGACGCTAGCGAGGACAAAAAGAAGGCGTATCTCCTGACACTCATTGGAGCAAAAGCCTATGAGGTTTTAAAAAACTTATGCAGTCCAGAACTTCTGGAAAATAAGACCTTTGAGGAACTTACTGAAAAATTAAATACTCATTTTTCCCCAAAACGCTCGATCATAGTCCAGCGGTTCATTTTTTTTAAAGGATGCAAGAAGCGGAAGAAAGTGTTTCGCAGTATTTAGTAGCGATTAAGCGGTTGGCAGCAACTTGTGAATTCGGGAACTTTTTGGAGGACTCTCTGAGAGACAAGTTTGTGTGCGGATTAAGCGATTCAAGAATCCAAGGTTGCCACTTCACTCTGCTGCCTTGGATTGATTCAAAAATTTACATGCATGAGGACACCACACGATTATAGAATAAATACTACGACAAGTGACCCTCCCTATACCATAAGATTGAAAGTCGAGGAAAATTTTATAGAGTTTGAATTGGACACGGGAAGTTGTCTAACCTTGATATCGAAGAATGATTTCAAGATGTATCTTCCAAATGCACAGTTAAAAACTATAGGAATGATCGTCAAGACATGACGGGACAGTAGTACCAATTCTGGGCGAGGTTATCGTTAAGGTGGAATTTCAGGGCAGGACTTCGATGCTTCGAGCAATAGTAGTCAAAGGTGAAAAAAAGGCCCTGCTGGGGAGAGAATGGATTAATTTGTTGAAAATTGATTATTTTGCGGTGAACCAGATACCCTCGGAAATTGCTATTCCTGAATTTTTGAAAGAGCATCAAGTTTTGTTCCATGACACAGCAGAGCCCATAAAAGGATTCACATTTTCAATGAATGTTCGTGACGTCAGCCCAATATTTCATAAGGCTCGACCGGTGCCTTTTGCGATTAGAACGGCGGTTACAGTAGCTTTAGAAAATATGGTGACAAAGGGATACTTATATAGGGTGAGGAGTAGCCAGTGGGCAACTCCAGTAGTAGTGGTACCAAAAAAAAAAAAAAAGGAAATGAGAATTTGTTGTGATTTTAAGGTAACTTTAAACAGATTCTTGGATACAGCAGCCTATCCGCTCCCCACTCAGCAAGACTTGTTTGCTATCTTGGCCAAGGGGAAATATTTCTCAAAATTAGATTTGAGCAGCGCTTACCT